TTGAACGAATTGGTCGACATCTTGACCAGGTTCTTGTTTGTATGTGGCTAAAAGATGGCGTGCATACACGATATTTTTCGGGCGGATGTAAAGTTTTTCCAGGAAGGTTATCGCAGAATGGTAGTCGCTACATTCTACAATGAAGTCACACTGTATGGTCGATGTGACGAATGAGTTTCCAATTTATTTAGACCTTCAGGTTTGATTGAGTTAATGTGAGCTTTGAAAGTACGGAACCAATGAGTTCATGGTTTCATGCCATCTGATGAGTGAGGATTAGCATCAAAAACCGTAGGTCGGAAAATATGATCCATTGCGTTTTCATTAGACGATTAAATTGTTGCAAGAGTCGAGTAGTTCCAGGACGGGATTAGAAGGGAGACAGAATAGAAAGACGTAATGTACGCTTTAATCGTCTAATCACTGTAGTACATGAGCTGAAAATAGAGTGAGAATCACGAGTTGGTGGGTTATGCAAATGTATGGGTTGTATAGTCATGACATTCTCTTGTATTTTATTGAAATATATTTCAGCGCATATGGTCGTCGTCTACCAGAGGTCACTGCTCAGAATTATGAAGGTAGCTTTGCTTTCAATTTCTTGTAAAATTGATAGAATGTGTTCAATGGATCCAAACGTCCCAGTTCAAACTTGTGCGGCTTCAAAGACTTGCTCTCAAAGGCACGTAATGTCTTGGTAATTACTGGCGCAGGGATGAGTGCTGAGAGCGGCGTCCCGACTTTTAGGGGTGCTGGTGGGCTATGGCGCAATTACAACGCTCAAGTGAGTAAGCACCCGTGCTCATTTTTTCTGCTAGGACTTGGCTACACCGTATGCCTTTTATGATGACCCCGGTCTGGTGTGGGAATTTTATCACTACCGAAGAGAACTTGTGCGCAAAACAAGACCAAATTCTGGACATCTTGCACTGGCTGATGCGGAGAAACGATTCAATGCCGACCGAAGGTCATTCACGGTGATAACGCAGAATGTAGATGGATTACACAGCCAAGCAGGGAGCGTCAATGTCCTGGAGTTGCACGGTAAGTATTTACCCATCTTCTCTTTGCACATCACTATGCCATCGTGTGCACTTGGTCCGCTCTGGGACCTATTGTAATTTTGGATATCAGTTTTTCAGGGAGTTTAGGACCTATCATGTTAAAAAAAGGTATTTTGCACTGCGGCGGGAGTGAATTTTAATCACACCTCATTAATTCACGTTGCGTTCAACATATAAGTTACCGTAAACTCAAGTAGGGTTTTCTGTAAGCAGCGTGAAGGCAATTCGGATAAGGATATGTTGTCTGAACTTGTACATTGAAACGGGATCAACTGGATATCCGGGAAGATAAGAGGTTACGAAAATGCGACAGATTGTAGTTCTGCCCGTGAACGTTTAAACCGGGATGTGTACAACACTTTATTGCTCTTTGAAATTATGCTATGTGTGTCGGGTATTGGAGATTATTCAGCACTTACTCTTTGGTGTTTAAAAAGCCTCTGTGCTCGCTAGTTACGTTTTTGATTAAGATTATCTTGGAGGTGTGTTTAGGAGATCTAACCATAGACTTTCAGAGTCTAAAGATGACATGGGGCAAATCGTAGGCCCACTGGAGAGGATAAGATATCTGCTCTAATATTATTTCACGGATGGGGACAAAAAGGGCACTCAGCTTTTTTCAGTGTAGCATCAAAGGCTGCTGAAAGTCAAATTCTTATGTGATTACATTAGATGTAGGAGATGGAATAATGCTCAATTATTCTTTTACTAGGAATTATGAGCAATGAAGCATTATTGACACTGATTTATCGATATTTATCGCAGAGGTCCTTATATCGCAACCGATGTTGAATGTAATTTGAAAATTCGTTTGTTGGCCATTGTGGATAGCTAACATGTACGACAGATGGGTTAGGGGAGACGTGTCATCAAGCTGAATCAAGATGTTAAAGCCTTTCTCCTACAGTCTGGAATATTTTTCTTGAGTGTTATCCATAGGTTTTGTTGGTCTTTGTACGCTAGACGATGCTAGGACATTTGGACTACGGTCTGAAAAGTAAGCGAATCGTACTCTGCTTTACCATTTCAGGCCACCTCACTGATAACCGCACGCCCCTACGTGTCATCTGGGCTGATGTCGAAGCGCTTTCCACACTGTTTTGATTACGCCGGGAATTTTTCGCTGATTTCCACCGCTCTGGCTACTTATCGTAGTGGCGTGAATCTGAGTCCTTGTCTCAAAACTCCAAGTTTATTTTCTGCCCAGTGTTGGGTGCACGACCTGTGCTGCCATTGTGGCTCGGAGCACAGCGATCAGAATTTTCGAGCGGTAAGAATCCGCTTGCCAAGTCCATAATCCAGTTAGCTATCGGGTTTATTCGGGATCTTGACAGCAGTGGTTTGAAGGAAAAGGTGTTAGACCTACTTAGTTCAACGGTGAAACCACAGAATTATATGTATAAATACTAGCGCCATCGGAAACTGAATCAGCAAACGCCGATGAGTCTTGTATTCACGTTTTTGTTGCAACTTGGGTTTCCAAATGCTACCCATTGATAGTTGCTGAAGAACGAAACAGACACTTACCGTTTAACAAGCAAATTTTGTGAACTGTGTGTCGAAAAAACACCATTCTGTTCTACGTGCATATTGGCACCAACCGTCTTATGAAATCTTCAGGTTAAGACATCGTTCGAATCATCATTCCATCAACCTTCATATGGCATAATCATGCCGTTATTCAGATTTGTCTCCAGACAACTATTCAAACAGTCCAAGCATCTTTGCAGTGAACTGGCATTGAATATCACAACCGAAATTTAGAAGGACGCGTTTCAGTAGTTTTCTCGCGCATATTGGCCTTATTGCTTGAGTGTAAAAAACAAGTCTCCATAAAACCACCACCATGGGTGGATACAATTATTAAACACAGCGACAGCTCAACAATGTGAAGGATGCTATTCCTCCGAAAAAGTGGAACGACTTCTAGGGCTGGGCAGCAGGATCGATTTTGAAAGGTCTTCGCACTCACTAACCTCGTATCGTCAACTCAATGAACTGTCTAACGAGTTCAAATTGTTTGCGTTTCGGTTATTTGTCGAACTTACGTACTGGTTCTCCATCCTAGGTAACCTCTTCAAAACTCGCTGCACCAAATGTTCAGACGTACGTGTCAACTTGGATAGTCCTATATGTCCTGCACTGGCAAACAGAGGGTAGGTGGCATTTGGTAGCGTTTTTTTATTGCTGACGCCCTAGAAACCAAAGTTTTAACTATTACCGCAATGTTCTATATGGTAGTCATCGCAACTCCCGTTATTTCAAGACAGGCCGTGACTATAAGTAAGGGTGACTTGGTAAGTTTGTCTAGAATCTATCATCATCCACAAGAAGTCACATCCGTGTTGACACTGATGCACCACGGCTGTACAACCACAAATTTTATTCAGTCAAAACCTTAAATTGAAAAGAGGAGAAAATAGGACGAGGGAGGGACCTAGTGCAAAGAAATTGCAAGCATTTTGAAAGGACTAAATGCGCCCAATTGAACAGTCTGGAAAAAAATTGACATCACGAGTGTCGCTGATATAGTTTAGCCGCCGTTTCTTGCAAAGTCTCCAGGCAAGCACAGGGAGCCTCGGGCCGCATCAGTAACACCCAAACTCTTCGTAATCTCTTTTGCACCCTTTCAAGTAATTCATCATCTACCTCGAAGTCTTTTTGTCATTTTGAAGGAGGCACGGATAGTACACTTGTTTAGGTAAACGATATTCGCATCATTTAGTTTTAGTTCCGCCCTTCTATTGCACTTGTTCTCTGGTGAAAAGCGGGTTCGCCTATGTTTGCATGTGCAACCAGTGTTGTTTTGGTCCTTCTGAATGTAGTTCACTATGATAAATAAATGGTAAATAACAGTTTTGCTCACGGAAGTTTTGTTTTGTGATTTACAACGGCGAGCTTTACTATTGTGACTCGGTATGAAAACTTCTACCCCGCCGACTGGTTACGCTCAATGAAATATAAATACAAGCAACTAACGCTAGTGGTTGTATGAACACAATGATTTATTCTTGACCCAATTGTTGCTATTCACTGAGGTTCTAAATTGTAGGCTGCACAGAGAAAATCCTAGAACGTCACGTAAAGCTGTGGAATTGTATGGTGGATTGCTTTTGTGAAAAGTAGCTGTAATCCGTCTTATATTTGATGATCAACTAAATAATGAGATTCTTTTATATAGGAGCAAGTTTTTAGTCTACAAAAAGATCGATTAACCTTGTTACTCCTCCGCCTGGGAGCCACTACGTTTGAATTAGAACTAAACTGATTGACTATAGTGGCTAGAACAATCTATGTATCTCGCTTGTGACTTGTGTTTATTGTTCACATGATTAGTTCGATCGAAAGCACACCGCTGAAATGAGTTAATTTCATCAACATTATATTTTTTGTTCGCACGCGTACGTTATTCACACTCTCAGTTGACCACACCGAAAACCGAAGATTGGGGAAGTAGGCCATAAACAGAACAGCATTCTACCCAGACAAGTTACTTCTACATGTGACATCCTACAAACTCATGAGTTAAATGTCTCACAGTTCAATACTGTTGCTGAATAGTGGTCATCATGGAGAAAGAAGTCTCTTGTACTGCCATGGGTTAAAATTCATGGGGTAATTAGCGTCCAGCAACGGTGTGTCGGTTGTGAAAAATCTGTACCAGAAGTTCTAATGTCACATAGCTGAGTTTTTATAATATCTGCTTAGTTGTCTTCGGAGTTGAGTTTTGTCTCTTGCGTAACCCAAATTGAATACCTCAGATTCCTAAAACAGATCTCGGTAGCCGCCTCAAGTTAATATGTTACCAGGTAACCCAAATGGCATTGGCATTATTTGTGCTTTCTTGCTTCTTTTGCTCTCGTATGGTGTGGTCCCTTCATTTGACTTCCCAGCCCTATTTAAGTTCATCGTAGTGCGAGCGGTGGTGCGAGTTTCACTCCTCTTAATCACCGATTGGCGAACCAGAAGGTCCGTGGTCCCCAAGATGTTGCCTGCTGCTGTATAGGCTTGGGTTACCTGATGGTACCTCGGCTTCCTTTCTACCTTCTAGTCGAATGGCAACCAGGCACCGAGAGTATGTTACAGCTGAATTATTATTATATCATCTGTTATAGGATCACTGGTGTGACCCACCTGAATAGCTGGCTGAGAACGACACATACGGACAAACACTAAGCCCAAATTTACATGGTTTGTGCGCAGTGCTCAGAGTCTTGATGTCGTTTGAATGTTATCCCTGTTCTGAAGCCGTGCATCCCAGTCCTAGGACCCCCTTTGTATGGTTCGCGTCCCTCGTCCTTCTTCGAAGTAGTCCCCGCAATCTACAATAGATCTATGTGACAACCTTTGTTCCTTTCTCTAGAGCCCTAGTATTCTTGTTGATAGTCATCTTGGTTAAATAACATGCGTTTCACTAGTAACTTTCATCGTGCATAAATGGATTTTCACTCTCAGTCCAGCTGAATGCTTGCAACCCATGCTTTATAAGCCAGATTTATTGAAGCTATTCTATATCGTTTTTTTTAAAACCTACTGGACCGTCTGCCTTTCCATGGCTCAGCAGGCCCTGTTATTGCTACTCTGCAGTTCGCCTGTCTTCGATCCTGAGTTGCACGGGCATATCCCAGAGGAGCAACTGCCCCGTTGTCACAAGCCTATTTCGGACAAACACCCAGATCGCTTATGTAACGGTCTGTTGCGACCTCACGTTGTATGGTTCGGTGAATCCCTGGACGATGATGTTTTACGTCGAGTGGGAATCGCTATGACCAGTGCGGATGTTTGCCTGGTTGTTGGAACTAGTGCAGTTGTGTACCCGGCTGCCGGATTCGCTCAGGACTTGGCAGCACGCGGAGTTCCAGTGGCAGAAGTTAACGTCGAGGTGACGCCGGCTACCAAATCTTTAGGGTATGTATGGTTTGGTTGGTGCTCTTCGGTACTTTACACAGTCTCTTGTTCGTTTCTTCGAGATCACCTTCAGCGTTTCTCTTGTCTTCGATTCTGTGATTACGATGATAGGGTGCAATATACAAGGGAGTCGATGTAATGTCAGGACTTCCTGAGGACAATAAAGCTCATTTTACTGACTAAAAATTCCAGGTGGTTAGGTAACTGATGCGGAATGGTTTTTCGCTAGGCACCTTGTAGCTGAAAGCTCTTCGGAGAAGGTCAATAGCAGTAGCTTATTGGATAGGGCTTGACTCACTGCTAATCAGATGGTTCATTGTTAGAGTTCTTCCTTAGCTTTTTGATCGCCTGTCCACTTGGCTCACGATAGCTTTAGATTAAAGGGATTCAGCAGCCGGACAGTTTGAACTTTTTTCCTGGTTGGTAACCATTGTAAGTATTATGTCAACAGTGGAACTCTGGTTGTGAACCAGAGACGCTGTTTCGTTTTCAGCTGCTACCGTTTCCAACCTAGCGCTCCTACCTAAATACTTATTTTGTCCTTTTCAGTTACTTTTTCCAAGGCAAATCCGGTGAAATATTGCCAGAATTGTTCAACGACTTGTGTCTGTCTTGATACGGATACCATAACAACTCTGTGAAACATTACAGTTTTATCTCGTGTCTTTGAAAATTTTTTATCTTGCTGCACTGAATACTATTTTCATCACTTAGCTACTTCTCTTCTATATGACTGCACACCTGTCTGGAAAGCTACGTTTCATAAAATCTCCACTGCTTTGTCCAGACAAAGTTGTTTATCATCTGGGTAGTGCTGACTGAGCCGCTGATAGGCTGTCTAGCACCTTTCTCCCTTTGCCATTTCAACTTATCTGTTACCTGCATGGTCTCCGGCTGCATAGAACATGTAGGATGTAAATGTGCGGTTGAATTGCTAACCAGTTTGTCGCAGATATTGGAATATATCTCTTCTTTTCCGTCAGGATAAAATGCAGGGATACAAAATATATGGTAGCGTTTGGGTTTCTCTCGCGTTTCCGTAGTTCATCTTGCACCGCACTTTATTTCGCCAGCATCTTGCCAGCCAGTGACCCCACGCAATGATCACGGGAATCCAGTTTCCAGTCACTACCGCATTTCGCCGGCGTCTGGTAAATGCCATCCTTTCTGGACTCGCTTTTAACCCATTAAACCTTCTATCGTGTACTGTTCAGCTTCAGTCCTTAATCGTTTGTTGCTCACGCTGGGTTCAATCACTTAGTTTCAAGCCATTCACCCGACCTCGCCATGGTTGTCCTATATATTGGGTTAACGGGTGCTTGTGCAGTTTGATGTAGTCACCTCTGGTGGATGAACTGATTTGTGTTTCATGCTTTTAGGCTAGCGCTACCACAAAAAGTCCAAAATTCTCTGCCTCAACCCTATCCAGTGCATTATCTAATTTAGTTTTTCACTGTCACACTGGGCGTACGGCTTTGGGTGTCGTGAATCTACCAAGTTCTTCGTTTTTGCATACTCACAAGTAATGAGTAGGTAGATTGTAGTACTATTTCCGGAAGCGCACTCACCACCATTCAATCCTGCCCGTAAGCCGATCGAGGAGGCGGTTCCTGTCAACACTGACTGAAAATTGCTGCTCCATATGCTTTACCTCTCCAAGGCGTAACAAATGGATATATACTGTGGTGTAAAGATACCAGAAGTGACAAATGATTGATTCACTGGTAACAGTGCACCTCTATTAGAAAGTGCCGGTCACGAGCTCTGGTAGGCGTGAAAGTACGTCATCGATATTGATCATTCCTATTCGCACCTGACCGTATAAGTACATCAAGTAGTGTTTGCTATGCACACTTCGATCACGCCTTGAGCTTTCAAGGGTTGCGCGGTTGCAAATGCAGCTTAACTCAGATGTATGCGCCTTAGCTGGTAGATGTTTGCTGCGTCGCAACCCTATGCCTTTCGCTAACGAAGCTCAACTGCACTGCTCATGTTTCCTGAAAAGAAAACAGCACCGTCAGTCTTTGAGGCTAACATTTGTTGATACAACGTGCGTAGTCCAGTTAAGTTTGGACCTTAGCATTCTTTCATGGTTGGCAAGTAGATTTATTGACTACACTGGAGCTTGCTAATGACATCCTTCGTAGGCTCGGGAAAGGGGAGAGTTTGAATTATGTTCTCGTCCGAATCGCCCGATCTCTCGTAGTTGACTTCGTTCAGCCCCTAATTGTTATTTTGTAAACCGGGTTTTTCATTGACTCGTTCTGCACCCGTGACCCCCTTGGGTTGCATGGTCATGGCAGCACCTCCTACAACATAAAGAACCCGAAAACATGATTTGGGTTTCTAACCACTTGCTGTAACCCACCCGGTATAAGGAGGAGTCAGCAATCGATGAAATCTATGATCAAAAATGTGTTGAAAATGCTCAAAGTACGCAAGATGCAAAGGATACAAGCAATAATGGAAGAACGTTAGAATCGTTAAAACGCTGTTCACTTGTTCCTCGATAGTTCTCAATTTGAATTGCGTGATATGGATTCGTCGCTTTCTTAGTTGTATACCTGATTTGAATATGACCTAGTTTTTTGTATTGTGTAGTTTTCTTCAGCGTTTGCTTATTTCAAATCCTATGGATCACGAATCATCGGCTAGATTCGTGGAATTCGCGGGGAATAACTCTCAAGCGGAGTGTATTCATTGGCATCTGCTTGGTACGATTCCATGCTGGCCAGCGCAAACATGTTCCCCTCAGGATTTGGCCCCTGGTTTTCCGCATACATGGAGATATTGACTGTTGTGGACGATTCCATTCCTGCTGTGGATCCAATGGGCCACGCGCCATACTCTGTTGGGGTATGCGTTTCCTGGTATGGCTGCGAACTATATTGGGATAAATTATCTGTTATTCTACCCGTGTCTGTGGGGTACATTTCTTCACACAGTGCTGATGGACATATCAGCCGTTGTGATCCAAAAGCACTTGAATATGTCATTGACTGCACTTCTCCAAATTGACTTGACAACGGTGACGGAGCTCTGGGCAACGGGACAACGTTCGCTGGGTGACGAGCAACATATATTTGTGATAGACTCCTATTGTCAGTTGGTGAGTAGGGGTTTAATGGGATCGATTCTACTCGTTTGTCTCCTGGCTTGACTGCTCGTGGACTTGGTGGTGTTATGTACGCTTCCGTATCAGTATCCTGCCAATTCACAATGCGACGCTGAGACTCGGTCGAATCCTTTGATTTGTTTCTCCCCATTTGTTTCCCACTTGACTTTCGGTGATTATCCAACCCCTTGGCATGTGTTCCGCCATTTTGACCGTTTGCTGGTAAAATGCCGTTGGATCCTTCTTCGTCCCCGACTGCCGTTCTAGGTAAGAAACCTGTTTCAGCGGAATACCGATGTGTTTGTCGGAGGTCATCTAAACTATTGCCTCCTACAGTATCTTGCAGAACACTTTCGTACTGCCGGCCGCGTTTTTTCAAGTGGATTCTTCCCTTGTGCCTCTTCGAACGATGCAAAGCACAACAACAAATAAGACAACTACTACCCACAAACACTATGGCCAGAGAGGGCACAAGCCACAAGAATATCCAACGGGGAATGGACTCATCAGATTCCGTTAGTTGAGGTTCTGTCTTGGATGGAACATAATGGGAAGTGGTGGAGGATGTTGTCTTGCCTACTGTACTATTTGTTGATCTCGTCGAACTAGAGTTTACGGCTTCCAAATTGTCGATATGATTGAACGTGGTGCTTGTCGAAGAACTCTCCCCTACATTGGTTGTGGTCGTCGACGTCAAAGTGGTCGAAATGGTCGAAGTGGTCACACACGGGTCGTTTGGATACCAAGACAGCGTATTGTTTTCTCCCTGTGTGCATTCAAGTCGACCAAGGGACCCACAGTCCAGTACACATCCGGCATTGTAATCCAGAACCATGATTCCATTTTCCAAATGCGAACGGCAAACTACCATTTGACACGACCGAATTGCTGGGCAGGCGGAACATCCTATAGCAGATAAAGAAAAGTGAGGAATATAAATGCACATGCAGGCTTCGTTAATATATTGTGTTAATAATCCACTAGATGGTGTGCACTTTTAACGCATATTGTCAATCACTTGTGTCTCCAAAGATTTCTACACAGCGGGATCATGTTGATCGGCTCTAGAGTCTCGCACGAAGTTTGACTTTTACACTGCATCACTGGCACTCGAATGTGAATTACCTGTCATGTGAAGGCGTTTGTATAGCGACTGTTTACAACTTAACTGGAAAATAAAAATGTATGAGAGCAATTGACGAACAGCAGAAGACTCGACCAACTTCACTGTCTGCAGCACACTCGGAGTTTTATTTTGGTGCAGACAATGCAACCCTTCTTTAAAGTCGCGTGTGGAATATACTGCCCGAAATGTGTATAGAGCCATCGTCCTTGTTTTAACTATCTCAACGTGAGGATTTCACATTCTGGTTGAAAGTCACAAAGCCCATGCGATTACTTGTGATAGGGCAGGCATAGACAACCGCAAACGTGATTAATTGCTGAATTGATGAGGAACGACCGCAAATGCACTCCTGGTGAAACTCCGGTTATTCTTCTGTATGAATTAGTCGTATCAGGACTGAGGGGTCTGAGGAGAGAAATGCGAGGCTGCCACGGTCAGCATTGACTCAGGTGACCAGTGGACCCAGCTTAAATCGGCCACTGTGTTTAGATTCCTGAATCAGGAAAGTAAAACAATAGCAGCTGTCTTTACCACACCTGAAATACACAACGATGAACGTATATAACCCTTAACCTGATTCACATGTATTGAAGGGTCGATTCAAATGGCAGCAAATGTCTTAGGACAACAAATTGGGAAAAGTAACTCCTTAGCATTTCGTAGTGGCTAATCCCCGTGCTGATTGTAGCTGTTGTCATTGTTAATAAAAATAACCCACCTAGACATACTAAGTATGAAGCCAAAATCTGGAGCCTAAGTGGCTGCTATAAATTTTCTCCTGGTACAAATGCTTAGGGGGAATGGCGACTAGGTGTGACTGTTTCAACATGTGAATGCATCCATGCGTTCAGTTCATCTGTTTATCAGTATCGAAATGTCCACCTGGCGAATAAGGACTTTTGATAAATTCCTCTTGGTCTACATTATTACTAGGGCCACCTGAGTGATCCAAACAGCAGACAATAAACGTGGTCATGTGGGCGAAAAACCCCTCTAAGTATGCCAAAGCTTATCCTCGTTGCGACCTGAGTTGACTGGAAACTTGAGGACGCTTGGAATTTATGTGATGCGACGATGAGACTCCCCTGGTGTTCTAATCCGACTTTGCCAGAAATCCTACACATGGTTTTTTAGGAGGCCTTTCTGTCCCTCTTATGGGACATTCTGATGTGGTAACATCTACCGACCTGAACAGTATGAGTGATCACTCAGTGAGGAGGGCGCATCGTAGAGGTTGTTGTGGCATCTACACCCCCTGCTCTTTTTGCAGTGACTGACTGGGAAACCTGTTCTTGACTCCCAACTTTTTGCTTCCTTGTAGTGAATTTCTCCACAAGAGCCGCCACAATTCCACTTACAACCTGGATGTATCGGCCACGCGTGAACACAATTTAGTCACATCATTAGCTATAAATTATGGGATTTTCACTAAATTTTGCTTTAAAAGCTCTTTTTTGTGCTTACCAAACTTCGCTAGACACAAAGACAACATAAATGGATTCGCAACATTGGAATCGAAAGATAAACCCGATTCGACTGTGTGATTCAGCACTCATTTGTAGTTACTAGGTTCTTTGAGAATTGGGGGTCTTGATCCATAAGGAGCCAATTCATTGAGATCTATGAAACGTGATGGTGAGAGAATCAGCCTTGGGGGTCAAACCATCTCAAGGTGGCATGGTAATGACTCCAATTTTCAAAAGGATGCCTCGGAACGATTGTGGTGATCACAGAGGGCTTATCCTTATTTCAGCGCACTAAAACTGACTTCAACTACTCGTCATAAAGCACGTTACTGTCGTGAACAATAAGTCGGTTTCGACTCTGTTCGACGTTGTGTATCAAGTTTTTGTTCTTCGCCAGGTTTTAGAGCATCGTCGACGGTTATCGTCCTGTGCACACATGCAGCTCCCACTTCAGTCATGAACACCCTGTGTGAGACTGGATTTAGGGTACGCAGATGATATCACCTTGCTGATTAAGCAGTATTAAAAACCTACTAGGGACACTGACTATTAAAGTTGAACGATTCGACGTGTTTTGCGTCCTCATATTTTGGGTAATTTTTCTATCTTCAACTAAATTTTGCATATCGAGCATCTCGAATCTACGCCCTTTTGATGAACTACAAGTTAAAGTATAGTACAGTAGAAGGGTTTTCAATAGCCTCGCAGGTAACCCTGGACCAAAAAGAACACAAGCCTAGGTTACGTGAAAGATCCAAGGCGAATCAATTGACCCGAAACCCACCTGACATTTCCTCATCCCTGCTAACGTGAACATTTCTTGTTCATTCTGCGGTGCGTGGGTAATATGCCATTAGCTTCAGTGTTTACCTTGGGTGTTTGCACGGTTGATAGGAAAACTGTAATCCGGCCGCTGTTGATCGACGTTCCAAAGGCTGCCCGGAAACCCAAATAACTTAGTCTGCCAGAAGAGACTCTAACTCAGCAGGGAATCAAGGTGATCCGATGTAGCATTTTTTACCATCAGTTCTCTTCACATTTCTCTCAAACCGGTCGAGGTTGTGGTTGAAAACCCCCGACGGAAAATGTATCGAGTCTTCTCAACTAGTTGGTGAATTAACAGGAAGTGTCACATAATAGCCTGTGTAGTATTTAGTGCCACGACGGTTCTCCAGTGTATTTTACTGCATGTGTTGACGTCATCACCCACGTCATCCGTGGGTGACTGATGGAGTGCCTACCAGACAGTACCCGATTGCGGGTTTGGTGTGTACGATATGTGATTTCAGCCGACTTTTACCGGTGCTAGCTATCGCTACTGTCTATACAGACGATGAAAGCAGTCAGAGAATGCCTGTTTTATTACCCCATGTGTTTGTGTGTTCACGTGTAGTCTGCTAGGAGGGATGCGCACAATTCAGTCCGTAATGTGAGAGAATCTGTGCCATACAAACAAATGACTAAATCATGTGAAATACACAGTTATCTGTTTGTTAGAGCGTACAACGTATCTTCGCTTATGGTGGAGCTCGACTGTAACGGCTTGCAGAAAGTTACACGTTTTAGTATAAAAACTCTGAATCCAACAAAACGATTGTGTTAACTGAAATCTGTCAATCATCCACTCTCCAAGTAATATTAGGAATAGAAACAAGACGGAACGTTGCCGTACGGGTGTCAGGTCTTCGATGTGCTAAGTTCACTGAAAATGTTCAACAAAATGGCGCGAAATTCGATACACCCGAATACACAGCATTTCTCTCCAGATATACATTTGGTTTGGAGAACATGCGTTCCTTGTCTATCATGCGTAGATTCTAACCGGATAAAAAATGGCTAAACTTCAGTCTCACATTGGAATATACTTTAGTACACTGGGTTAACGAAATACATTCGTTTGCATACCAACTCGGTTGTGACCGAAGACTCCCCTGGAACCCAGCAGAATCTCTCGCTCATGATGTTTCAGGCAGTCGCATGTGCTACACCGGCCGTCTCATGTTTAAGTTGGTACGATATTCGGGGTATCGCGATACGTGCGTGGACGTACTACACTACTCATAAGGCTGGTGAAAACTCTTCGGTATCATAAACGACAGATTCAGCTGGGTCAAAACCAGATTTCGTACAGTTTGGGATCAATTAGAACATGAGGTTGACAGTAAGATTGTTCATGAAAAGTTTGGTTAATGACCATGTGATTTCCAAGTTAGCAGTATTTTTGTGACTTCTAAGCGGAAACTTTCTAAGCGCACCAAGAATATTGGCCGAATAAACCTCAACAACAGGCCAAACATATCTAGGGTTCAGGAGGCGATTTGTGTACGTTTTTCGTGCCCATTTAACCCAGGTTCCCCACTGGTGAACTGAACAAACCTGTCCAGTGGCTTGGTACTCCTAATTACGGCTTGTTGTTTCGTTAGCTTTTGATGATGTCCTCACCCCTGATGTCAGAAAACGGAACTGGTCTGCTTCAGTTTCCAACAAGTGGAGCTTTACTGGGTGATTCCTTGCTTCTTTGCCAAACGAGATGGGACCCGTCTACAAGTGTGATGTATCCCATCATCAAGTTGACGAGCACAAGTTCACAATATTCATTTGACAGCTGCTTATCTGGAAAATGATTTCCTACTGAAAGAAGTCCGTCCAAGTTGTGCTTCATCATTTGGTTGCGTCGAAAATATCAAAGATATGCATCATTCACTAGTTTAGGTTTGGAAAAAGGTTAAAAAGAAATTGTGAAGTAATCAAGGCGTTCATTTGAAAACCATTCTCGGGAAGCTCAATTTTCTCGCTTTTCCTAGAGACATAGAAAAGGGACATTTATGCATGCTGGGATATCTGCCTGATGTGCTTCGAGGTGGGCAAAACCATGATGAATCTTCCCATGATACTAGTATATTGAATTCCGGACAGAATTGATCCCGGAGCAAACTAGTTGCCTGAGAACCATTAATGAGGTGTTCAAATGAAACCCGAATGAAGCCCAAGCAAACAAAATTTAGGTGCGTGGATATGAATAAAATCTTTCGTTGATATTTGATCTTTATTGAGACTATCAACCACCGTCAGCAAGCTTGATTTTAAGGAAGGCTCACCCGTAAGAGGTTCACGATTATATTAGTGTGGATTCCGCTCTGTAAAACAGAATCAACTGTGATTTGGTGAACGAGTTCACAATTCTGAGCAAGATGATAAGACTGAGAATCGAGAGTTCTGTGTACCGTCAGTCATGCTGGTATGGAAAAGCATGCGATGCTAAGAAATGCCTGGATGTCTTAGTAGAGCGAAAATATATCTAACGGCGCTGGCTG